CCCAGGCCTAATGCCTCGGCCAGAGGAGTTAGGGGCAGAACGGGAGATCGCAAGCAGCTGGTGGTCCCCGCTGCCCAGGCCTAATGCCTCAGCCAGAGGCGTTAGGCCTGGGCAGGGGCAGAGCAGAAGATCACGGAGCCGCTGCTGCTGCGGGTCCCCGCTGCCCAGGCCCAATGCCGCAGCCAGAGGCGTTAGGCCTGGGCAGGGGCAGAGCAGAAGATCACGGAGCCGCTGCTGCTGCGGGTCCCCGCTGCCCAGGCCCAATGCCGCAGCCAGAGGCGTTAGGCCTGGGCAGGGGCAGAGCAGAAGATCACGGAGCCGCTGCTGCTGCGGGTCCCCGCTGCCCAGGCCCAATGCCGCAGCCAGAGGCGTTAGGCCTGGGCAGGGGCAGAGCAGAAGATCACGGAGCCGCTGCTGCTGCGGGTCCCCGCTGCCCAGGCCCAATGCCGCAGCCAGAGGCGTTAGGCCTGGGCAGGGGCAGAGCAGAAGATCACGGAGCCGCTGCTGCTGCGGGTCCCCGCTGCCCAGGCCCAATGCCGCAGCCAGAGGCGTTAGGCCTGGGCAGGGGCAGAGCAGAAGATCACGGAGCCGCTGCTGCTGCGGGTCCCCGCTGCCCAGGCCCAATGCCGCAGCCAGAGGCGTTAGGCCTGGGCAGGGGCAGAGCAGAAGATCACGGAGCCGCTGCTGCTGCGGGTCCCCGCTGCCCAGGCCCAATGCCGCAGCCAGAGGCGTTAGGCCTGGGCAGGGGCAGAGCAGAAGATCACGGAGCCGCTGCTGCTGCGGGTCCCCGCTGCCCAGGCCCAATGCCGCAGCCAGAGGCGTTAGGCCTGGGCAGGGGCAGAGCAGAAGATCACGGAGCCGCTGCTGCTGCGGGTCCCCGCTGCCCAGGCCCAATGCCGCAGCCAGAGGCGTTAGGCCTGGGCAGGGGCAGAGCAGAAGATCACGGAGCCGCTGCTGCTGCGGGTCCCCGCTGCCCAGGCCCAATGCCGCAGCCAGAGGCGTTAGGCCTGGGCAGGGGCAGAGCAGAAGATCACGGAGCCGCTGCTGCTGCGGGTCCCCGCTGCCCAGGCCCAATGCCGCAGCCAGAGGCGTTAGGCCTGGGCAGGGGCAGAGCAGAAGATCACGGAGCCGCTGCTGCTGCGGGTCCCCGCTGCCCAGGCCCAATGCCGCAGCCAGAGGCGTTAGGCCTGGGCAGGGGCAGAGCAGAAGATCACGGAGCCGCTGCTGCTGCGGGTCCCCGCTGCCCAGGCCCAATGCCGCAGCCAGAGGCGTTAGGCCTGGGCAGGGGCAGAGCAGAAGATCACGGAGCCGCTGCTGCTGCGGGTCCCCGCTGCCCAGGCCCAATGCCGCAGCCAGAGGCGTTAGGCCTGGGCAGGGGCAGAGCAGAAGATCACGGAGCCGCTGCTGCTGCGGGTCCCCGCTGCCCAGGCCCAATGCCGCAGCCAGAGGCGTTAGGCCTGGGCAGGGGCAGAGCAGAAGATCACGGAGCCGCTGCTGCTGCGGGTCCCCGCTGCCCAGGCCCAATGCCGCAGCCAGAGGCGTTAGGCCTGGGCAGGGGCAGAGCAGAAGATCACGGAGCCGCTGCTGCTGCGGGTCCCCGCTGCCCAGGCCCAATGCCGCAGCCAGAGGCGTTAGGCCTGGGCAGGGGCAGAGCAGAAGATCACGGAGCCGCTGCTGCTGCGGGTCCCCGCTGCCCAGGCCCAATGCCGCAGCCAGAGGCGTTAGGCCTGGGCAGGGGCAGAGCGGAAGATCGCGGGGAGCTTCGGGTCCCCTGCCCAGGCCTGCGATTGGAGGGTGATGGGGGTCAACGCCTGAGGGCTCCCAGTATGTGAGAGGGGGCAGGCTGGGCTGAGGGACACTCCCCCCGCCCTCATCCAGTGCACGAATTTCGTGCACCAGGCCCCTTGGCAGAAAAAAAGGTTCCCCAACCCTGCTCTTCACTCTAGGTTCAAATTTGTTAGAAAGGGGACCATCACTCAGGATCTTCAGGCTGGACATGTGTCGGTAAACCAAAAGAGGTCCTTTTTGGTCATGCCTTGAATTTAGAGACCTGAGCTGTCTATGTGGGGCTAACAGTACCAATAAGATTTGAAGGCACTGCTGGACAATACCTTTTTGGCAAACTTACTCCATCTATCACATGCACAGGCTGAAGCAAATACCAACACTGATATAGTGGAGGACCAAAATGAACATACCTTAAAGATGGAAAGGAGTAAGCATATGTAATGTTGGTTACACTATCTCATACTGGTTGTTTGTTATAGCGCGAGAGAGGCAGTAGGCGAGAAAGATTCCAATCAGCTGGAAATAAAACACAAGCAAAATTAAATACACATACCAAAGAGCTTAAAGACCTCAGGGTGTAGGTATAGTCTCCTTAACTTCTAATTCACTAATGATTTCCTTCCTGAAGTTTTTCTGGATAGTTATGTTTGATACTATGCAGCATCTAGGTCACATTCTAAGGATATAAGCGAAGTTCTACTACTACTGTGACCTGGAATTTCACAACTGTAACTGACAAAAATCACCCAAAGGAAAGTTTAAATGTCATAATTTTGGGGAAACTTTTCTTCCTCTTCCTCTGTTATCAGAACAAAAAGGGTATGACTTAGAATAAGAATCTCATCCAGTAAAATTTCCATCTGTGAGGACAGAGATTTTCCTGGAGGGTCTAGAGCAGCATTGCAGTGCTGGCAATGGTGTGTAATACCAATACCTCTCTTGTCCAATAAGATCACCACTGACCACCTGTGGCTTTTCAAGATTTCAAATAGGGGTAGAATAACTGAAGAAACAAAATTTAAACTTTATTTAAGAAATAGAACCTTTAAAATGTAGCTAGTGGATATTTTCTTAGACAAAGCAGATTCAGATATAGCTATGCCTGCTACTTTAGAAATATATTAAGATTAGACTTCATCAATTACATAGGTCAAAATGCTTTTAGTCTTATCTCCACAATGTTTAATAGGAAAAATACCCCCTAAGTTAGTTGTCTAGAGCCACAATATAGACTTTTCATGCTACAGGAGACATAGCAAAACTCCAGAAATACAACTTGAATCCACAGCATAGTACCCACCTAAAATAATAGGCACATATTGAATGTGAGTTTGTATGATCTAAATTTTAATAGGCTGGGACTTACATGCAACTCATCAGGGAGTTGCAGCTCAGGAAAAAAGAGATTCTAATAATGTTTTTGAATCTTGACTGACTGCAGAGCAAAGCAGGGTTCCGGTCTATCTCATATTTTGTTTAATGAACTGTGATGCTGGAAAGTTGCCATAACTAAGAGGGCACCAGGTCTTTCTACAGTTAACTGCTTTCCAAAGATATACATGGCTAGAAGTTAATTTTAAGCCTTGCTTTTTGTAGTTTCAAGGAATGACTGGCCACGTAAAAAAAAAAAAAGAGGTAAAATGGTAATAAAAACTTAAATCTGTAGTTATGGAAAAATGTAAGAGCTAAGACATCAAAAAATTGAAATGAAAAAGGCAAAATATTCCTTTCCAAATAAGCTAAATAAAAACCCAATCACGAATGATTTACTACATATGCATCATGTACTGTGATGAGCAACTGAGAGTTGTGAAAATGTAACTTCTCTGAAAATGCCCACTATCCAAGGACCTGAAGCGAAAACTTGAAGCCTTCAAAGTGGAAATCTTCTAGCTGACACCTGTAAGAGTGATGAAACAGTTCCTAAATACATGGATTTACCTGGAAACAAGCAACTCCAAAGGAAATTCCAGCAACAACTCCCATTTCTGACTCTATAATGGTCATTACCTTTATAAAACAACCCTAATGGGAGAGAAAAAAACTATTAAGTACAGCACGAGCAATAATATTTTGATCATACATGTTGGCAGAAAGATGAGCTTTGGATACAATAGCCTTTGCCATTTTATTAAAGTTTACTCTTTCATGTAACAAACACTGTCTCCTTTCAAGCACAGTGTTTTTGGTAGAACTTTGAGGAACAGAAGTTCCACCTTTTGGATTATACATTTAAAAAGCGTTTCTTGCTAGTTGTATGAACTCAAGTCACACATTTTCTGAGTTTCAATTTCCTCATTTATTCAATGAGAATAATAACTGCCCCATTTCAGATTATGTGTATTGTGATTAAAAACTAAAAAGTGAGGCAACTCTGTATTCAGTTAATATCTTCAAAAAATTATAAAAGGCTCCTTACTTCATTGTTTACTTTATCAGCATCCCTCTGAGGAGAACAATCTTCAACTTTACAGCAACTCTTGGGAAATCCTTTTTCTATGTAATAATTAGTATCCTTCCAATCTCTAAAGTTTGTGGCACCACAACAATGTAACTGAAAAATCCCAACAAAAACAATGATACTTCACATTACAACTTTGTAGTCAAACATTTAACCTATCATCTTAGATTATAATTTGTGTTCCAAACAACATTGGGACGGGGACAGGTGCAGGGTGGAGGGGGTCAATGGGGGAAATAGGGGACATTGGTAATACTTTCAACAATAAAGATAAATTTTAAAAAACATTTATTATATGTAATTATTTTTTGTGTGGCTGTCCTTAATTGGCATTATAATTCAAAAGACGAACACTTGTTTCAAACACCAAATGTTTCTAACATTTTTGGACTGGCCTTACTTTCCTGCTATTGTTGGTGCTAACAGGACTTGGGCCGTGATGTCAGTGGGGAATGAAGTGTTTCACATGTGAGGAGAATGATTAGGAGAAAATGGAGTTATGTCCCTTAGTATCATCATACTCTTCTTTTCAGGGAAATATCTTCATTCTCTACTGATCTAAGATTATAATGAGAGCATAGGACAAGTGGACCCTATCTTCTTCTCTCAGGGGATAGGGGCTATGTCCCCCTCTTGATAAGACACCTCCAATGATCACTTACCGTACTTTGAATCTTGTCTACTGCATTGCTTCTATAATCTCCCGTAGCATTATACTGCTTTAAAGCTTTCTCATAATTATTCTTAAAGCTGTCCTTAATCTACCGCAAAGAAACACAAGGTCAATAAACAAAGTCAAATAAGAAATTCCTACATCTGACAGCAGCAATATGCATGGTAATTAACTTCTATGGACCAATCCTGTCCTCCAAGGGATATAGTTTAGCCGAGGGGACTACTAATGTTTGTAAGCAAAACATTACAATAAAAGATGATAACCACTACAAGTTCAAAGTGCTATGGGAGCATGTATTTATTCAAGTGGCAGCTCTGTACTGCTGTATTCACCCCACCCCAATCTTTATCCAGTTTTAATAGCACAAATTTGATGCCTATGGAATGTTTAAGCTACTTCACTTTGGGAGGATGCACTACCACATTGTAAAAAATACTCATTTATGAGCCTTCACTACTCACTGAATCATTTCGTAACCCCAGGCTTAACAGAGTGGAATGCTGATTCCTAATTCAATATTAAGGTTTTCATGATATGCATTAAGTATATCCAGTCTTTACTGTGTGGCATAAATGGAGATGGTATCAATTTTGTGCTTTAAATAGTTTCCTATCAAAGTTATAAACTGTACCATCTCCACTTTAATAGGTACTTCTACACAGAAAAACTACTAGAAATACATGTAATTATGGGCATCTTTACTTTTGTTCTGGTGATTGTTAGTCTTCACCATTTTTTAAATTTTCTTTTATATTAAAAGTGGACTAGAATTTTTACAAGAAAGCCATTCTTGTTGGCTATGAGTTGCAAAAATAAGGCTTTAAAACACAACTGTAAGTGATTTTTAAACTAGTGAAAGTTGTCTTTAACTCTGTGATTTAAATGAATCCATTTTTATCTCCCAAACTGGCTTACCTCATGTCTGAAAACAAATCCAACAATGGCAGCGACCAGTTCAACCAAAAAAATGAGAGTCAGAAACATTGCATACTGCAGGATAAAAAAAAGTCTAAGTCAGCATAAATTAGATACATCACAGCAGCAAAGGGAGTCAAGGGAAAATGGTCTCTTCAATCAGCGTGTTTTTTATTGAAAAGGACAGGGAAAGCACAACAAAAGTGGCAACTGGTAGCTGAACTATTAGTTGGTAAGTTTTCATAAGGAACCAGAGAAATCTTAAAAGGCCATGGCCAGTTCCAAAAAAGCAAAGCCCACTTCTAAGGAAAATAAGGACTCACCAGTTTTAGCATCCACGCAGAAGCTCGGCAGGTAGCAAAACAGCCAAAGGTGCCCAAAAGAATGATGACAGTGCCAGTGCCGATGAGCACGAAGGGAACATTGGTGGCCTTCTCATTTAAAAGGGAGAAATAATTCTCCAGGCTCACCTTGCCCCAAATGCCAACGGCAAGAAGGATAACACCAGTGATCTATGTGGGAAATCAGAGAATAAAAGTTATACACTGATTTGAATAGACTTAAAAGTGATATATGTATATTCAAACCACAAACCACTAGGTATTTAAGTAACAATAGGTGTGACAATTGTTTAGTAGTCCATGGCCACAGAGCTGTGGCTGGGATGTAGCAGACAAGGAGGAGGAAGGATCTAAAGGGGATCTGCTCAAAAGGACAGGCCTTTATAAATCCACAGCTGGATCATTTTAGGCAGCCCAGGTAGCCAGGATGAAGCCAGGGGGCAGCTAGAGAAGGCATCTTAATAAAATCCTTAAACTTCATCTGTTTTGCTGTATAAACACAAACCCAGGGTATACTTGCCCTAGGGATCAAAAGTTTCTTAACTGTCTTACTCCTGCTTAATAAAACCTTCCTAGAGGGGCGGGGTATTTTTATGAATTCCAGAAACTTCCCCTTTCCCCAACATCAGCGAAGAGTACAAAGGGATGGTACACAAAAGCAAGTCCAAGGATAGATTGGCGGGAATGGGGCCATTACCATACTTACCTGTGAAATACTCCCCTCTTATGAAGCAGTGAAAAGAAAGAGACTATTATGCAAGCAAAAGCCCTCAGAGTGGCCGGCCCCCGGCTGCCGCCATCCCGCACCACGACCCCGGCAAGGGCGAGATGCACGCGCTCAAGCCCCAGCAACTCGTCGCCTGAGTCCCCACAGCACCTCCGCCCAAATCTCTCCACCCCATGTCTCCCCTGGAATCCCGGACCTGAGCTCCCTCCCGCTCAGGGTCACACCCCCAACCCAAGCCCAGGGTCCCCTCCCGTCCCCG